TGCAAATTCAGTAACTATGTTTGTGTTTCCAGGGCAGTACTATGTCTACGCGATAATATACTGTTACTAGAGCAGAAGCAGCAAGGCCATATTTTCAGACAAAAACCTAATCCTACAGTGCAAGCAGACCAACCTTTAGGGCAGCTCAATCCCAACCTTCAGGGACCTTCCAATTATTGTCCTAGCTCGTTTGATTGTTTCATCGATCAGTGATCCACAGTTCAAAGAATAGTCACAATTTATGGTGTCAAGCATGAGCACAGACTAGTAATTAAGCCTAGCTAACCAAACAGCATTATGTATTCTATTTCACTGATTGACCAATATCCAAGTGGTACCAGCACTGATATTAAAAACAGAAATGCATCAGCTTGTTGTAAACCTTTACTTGAAGAATTAGCTAGAGCTATCAGTGATTCAGTTCGTTGGAAGTCAACATTGAGAACGAAAACTAGGACAATTAAATTTTCTGGATATATAAGCAACTTGCTTACGGTTTTTTTTTTTTCTTGCACTACGACTTTAAATTTTTTGATAAACATGTGACGATATGGGCATGTTTGGCAGGCTGTTCTACAGCCACTACTACCGCTGCTGCTTACTGCTTTCTCACTCACAAAATAAAATACTGTAGGATGGCTGCTGCGCAGCGCTGGAACTAACATCCGAACAGGCCGGCGTATATTAGGATACAGCAATTTCATCGTTAATGCTCGTCTGCTCCACAGTTTCCAAATTCTGGCAAGCAACCAAATTGGCATGTGGAAGCCACGATGAGTCATGAGTCGATGACCCAAAACAAGTGAGATTAGAGATCTGAGCTCCAGCTCACCACCAAATTGCATTGTCTTTTTTTTTTGGGGAGGGGGTTAGTTTAGGACCCCAGGTGGCCAGACTGAATTATTGGTCCTGTTCGCTTACGCTGAAATTTGGTTTATGCTGAAATTTTACGAGAGAAAAATACTGTTCCATGACTAAAAAGTAGTTCAAGCGAACAGGGACATTATCTTCGAAGCACTCAGCCTCACAGTCCGTACTTTGTTCGTGCTAATCTCTGCCAACAATACCTAATTCTGCCTGACAAATGGCCCTACTACACCTGTACTTATCATTAAACATTAAGCAAACATTCTTCCAAACCAAGCAATCTGCGTGGATATCCTATCTAGTGAATGAATAGAAAAAACAAGATATTTTTTTGCAATGTGGTCCTTATTTTATCCCTTTATTTCACTAGAACCTGATATCCCAGCATCATAATATGCGGTACTCCCTGAAAGAATGAAGATAACAAAGGCGCAAAGTAACAGTAAAGAATGAAGATAACAAAGGCGCAAAGTAAAAGTAATGTGCGGCACTGCAGTGGTATTCCTTGCTGAACCCGTGTGGTTAGGAAGTTTCCTGTCACCTTTTATTGATTCGAATGAAAGAAACTTCCTGTTTCAAAGGTGATACCAAAAGAAAGCAGGCTATGTCTGCAGACGGCTAAAGAAGGTAAAAGCTGGCATTATTAGATTGGTGCACTTAACCTTTTCATTGAAGGTAGAAATTGTAGGAGTAGTATCTCACAACATTACATAATAACGCTGTATATGTATTAAGTCGTAGCAATATTACATAACACTGAACATTAATGGCCCTGTTCGTTTGAACTTATCAGCCATACCTTTTCAGCAAAACAACAGTGTTTTTTCTCATAACAAATCAGCATCAGCATCAATCGTTTTTTCAGCCAGCCGAACATGACCAATGTACGAGCGTGCGTAATAGCAAAACAATATCCATAAAAGAAAGTAGGAGTATCTTCCATCCTCTGCTCGTGCTAATGATGCTCTGGTCACGTGGACAAGATCGAGAGGTTCAAATTTTGAAAATGCCATGTCCCTCGACCAGAGTACGTACGGGTACGGGGCGCCGGTCGGTACCATACTACCAATCTACCATGTCTAGCTCAGACATGCATGTGTCCTGTCTCTAAATCCCACATGAACGTGATTCATGTTCAATGTTCGTATTTTGGGATATAAAAACAAAGAAAACGTTTGTATTGCGACGGACATAGAAGTACAATAGCAAAATTATGTCTTAAGGCCTCATTTGATGCGATCCTTCTATTCCAAACTATAAGATGTTATGGTTTTTCTATATATAATTATTTATTGTTTTTAATATGCATTTAGACATAATGTATATATCAGATGCATAGTAAAAATAATATATCTAGAAAATCCAGAATAATTTATAATTTAGAATTGAGGAAGTATGTCCGAAAGTACAGCAAAAATTTGTTTTGCCTAGACGCAGGAATTTTCCTCTCTTTTTATGTTTTTAATATAAAATTCAATTGATTCAAGAAAATCTAACACAAGACGTGTAAGCCACTTTTCTCTCAACAAAACTGTCTTTGTTTATGAATAATGACTACTTTTCACCAACTCTGAGCTCCCGTTAATTTTGGCTTCTTTAGTAAGGAGTCGCTTTTGTCATTTTAAAAAAATGTATTAGGAGCTGATATAAAATTGTTTCAGACTCGTGCCAAACAAGGTTTTGTTTGTTTATTAAAGCTTTTTGATGGGTGATATATACTTCCCAAAATAAGTTGTATCCAACATTATGGGTCCGTTTGGTAGGAATCTAGATTTTAGGAGAAATGTTTTAGTTTTAAATTCTCTGGAGAAACGTTTCTTTGAGAAATATAATCATTTACTGAAACAGTTTGGCCGTCCGTATGGGTTCGGATTCTAAATAGAGGTACATATGGTGGAATAGACCAAAATGCCCTTGATACATGATGAGGTTTTCTTGAGTTTCTACAGGGTTAAATGAAGCATTTAAACAATGGCGAAATATGTATACTGATATTCTTGTATTTCTTGTTTTATTTTCTACGGGAAACGGCTAAAATATGTATAATAGTATTCCTATTGTATTTTTTTTGTTTTATTTTTTGTATGGGAAAGCAGCCGAAGTAGGTGTACTTGTATCCTATTGTATTTTGTTTTATTTTTCTGCGGGAAAACGGCCAAAATATGTATACCGGTATTCTTATTGTATTTCTTGTTTTATTTTTCCAGGAGAAAACGGCTAGGGTGTCATGGGCGTGGCCTTGCTTGGCTTCACCGACCAGGGTAGAACGGGCAAAGCATCGAACCGTTTCTCGTGCGAAATCAGGTTTGAGCTGATTCATCCGTGTAGTGTAAAAAGAAGAATCGTTTCTCCCCGTTTCGTTCCGGAAGCGCTACGGCATATTTTCGTTTGGCAGCGATTCTTGCGTTTGAATGCTTTTCATTCCATGTGCCAAGCGAACAGAGCGTCAAGCGATGTTATTTTTGACCAACAATTAGTCTAAGCCAAACAAACATAGCGTCAAGCAATGCCAAACACACCCTTATCAACTTCATAATCAAGTACCTCTCGAATGCTTTTCATTCCACGTGCCATTACTAGCATGTCCAACTCGTCTCGCTCGATGTTGAGTTGTTGACGATTGACTGTTCACTTGACTGATAAGGCATGGCTGAAAATACTGTTGACTAATTTGTTGTGAGAAAAAAATATTATTCTTTAATTTAAAAAAAATACAGCTTATAACCAAGCGAACAGAACGGATGCATTTGGAGACACACATACAGACAGTTGCAGATTTGCAGAGGAGCTCGCGTGCGCCCCCACGTGCGATGCCGTTGAAGCAGTTTCCCGTCACATTTGTGTGTGTCCCCCGGTCGCGGCGGTCGCCATGGCCGCAGCTACCCGCTTCCTCCACGTGCCCACGCCTCCTCCATTTCCGCAGACGACTCGATCACACCACCGCCGTGGTGCATGGATGGAGACAGGCGTTTTCGTTTTCCTTTCCTTTTCTTCTTGATGGCGAAAAAAAGAGAGAATGGAGACAAACTTTGCCGTCCTCCCCAGCAAGCCAACTACCCACGACTTGGGTTGTTGGCACCAAGCACGTAGCCACGTACGCGACGCGCAAATCGACGAGCGCGTATCTTGCAGCTCAAATATCCAAATTAATTTCATTTATTACAAAACAATTATACTTTTTTTAGCTTAAAAAAAGGGGGAAATGAGAATTATTTTGGCGAATTGATGAAGTGGGAGGAAGGAAGCAAAACTGGGGACGGCGTTGTTGATGTTGTACGGCGTGGGGAGCCTCGACGAGTAATTATCACGGTTATAAATAAATAATATAAATATAAATATAAATGGCGGATTTAAAATAATCGGGCTTAATTAATCGACTAATCCCTCTCTCTCCTCGTCTCGTCTCACCAGTCACCACCTCCACCTAGCCTCCTCGCTAGTCGCTCCCCACCTCGTTCCCTGCCTCCCCACCCTTCTCGCTCCGCCCCCCACCCCCACCCCCACCACCACCCACCAAAGCGTCGCCGACCCGGCCGCCGCGCGCGAATCCCCAGGCCGGGATCGATCCCCCGCCTGCTCGCCGGACCCTTCTCTGCCTCGGCCCTCCTCCTCTTCGCGCCTCACTCTGCCTCTACACCCAGGTTGGTTGCGTCCCTCGTCTCAATCTCCCCAGCTGGATGCTGGCGCCTCGGTTCTTCCTGGTCCTGCGAGTTTCCCTCGCCCCGTACTTTTTTTTTTTGCTCCTCGTTTGCACCCGTTGCGGAGTTTTTTGGGCAGTCCGTTCGTTCGTTTTGTGCTGTTTTCTCTTTTCACATGGGTGGGTGAATTAGGAGGTGAATGTGCCTGCAATACACGCGGGTGTAATTTGCGCGTTGTTTTAGCGGATTCCAGGTTTCCATGGCGTCAGATGAGATTTCTCCGTGCGTTTTGTTCGATTTCTTTGTCTTTTCTTTCTTTGTATGTTTTTTTTTTTTGAAATTCGCTGACGACGAGATCACGAACTGATTCCCCAAGTTGCAGGTCCAATTCGCCCGCCCGCGGCGTAGGAATCCCGTCCTAGATTCGATCGGGGCGCTGCAATGCCGGCATCCGCATAGCTGGAAATCGGGCGCTGACGGACACCGGGCGCCGAGATGGCCCGTTCCGGCCGCCGGCGGCGGGACCGCATGCGGTGGAGCAATCTCTACACCTTCTCCTGCTTCCGCGCCCAGCACGGGCACGCCGGCGACGCGGGCCCCTCCTCCGACGGGGCTGGCGCCGTCGGCGGGCCGGGCTTCTCGCGCGTCGTCTACTGCAACAACGCCGCCCTGCAGAAGCCGCTCAAGTACGTCACCAACTACATCACCACCACCAAGTACAACATCATCACCTTCTTCCCCAAGGCCATCTTCGAGCAGTTCCGGCGCGTCGCCAACCTCTACTTCCTCCTCACCGCCATCCTCTCGCTCACCCCGGTGTGCCCTTCTCTCCGTCAGCATGATTGCTCCGTTGGCCTTTGTCGTTGGCCTCAGCATGATGAAGGAGGGGCTGGAGGACTGGCGCCGCTTCATCCAGGACATGAAGGTGAACAACCGCAAGGTCAGCGTGCACAAGGGTGATGGCGAGTTCGACTACCGGCACTGGGAGGACCTTTGCGTCGGTGATGTCGTCAGGGTTGAGAAGGACCAGTTCTTCCCTGCTGACTTACTGCTACTGTCCTCGAGCTATGAGGATGGCATTTGCTATGTTGAGACGATGAACCTCGATGGTGAGACGAACCTTAAGGTGAAGAGGTCACTTGAGGCTACGCTGCCGCTGGAAGAAGACGAGTCATTTAAGGATTTCCAGGCAGTGATACGTTGCGAGGATCCCAACCCGAGCTTGTACACGTTCACTGGTAACTTTGAGTATGAGAGGCAGGTGTACGCCCTTGATCCGTCTCAGATACTTCTGAGGGACTCAAAACTAAGGAATACAGCCTTTATCTATGGAGTGGTTATCTTTACTGGCCATGACAGTAAAGTCATGCAGAACTCAACTGAGTCGCCATCCAAGAGGAGCAGGATTGAGAAGAAGATGGATTTAATTATATACATCCTGTTTACTGTGCTCGTGCTGATATCAATCATTAGTTCAGTTGGATTCGCTGTGAGGATCAAGTTCGATTTGCCCAACTGGTGGTACTTGCAGCCACAGAAAAGCAATAAATTAGATGATCCATCACGCCCTGCTCTTTCTGGGATATTCCATCTAATCACAGCTCTCATTCTTTACGGGTATCTGATTCCAATCTCGCTGTATGTTTCGATTGAACTTGTGAAGGTATTGCAAGCACATTTCATTAACCAGGACATTCATATGTTTGATGAGGAGACTGGCAATACTGCTCAGGCACGTACATCAAACTTGAATGAGGAACTTGGCCAGGTTCATACTATCTTGTCAGATAAAACTGGTACTCTGACCTGCAATCAGATGGACTTCCTGAAGTGTTCAATTGCTGGAGTATCATATGGCGTGGGTTCAAGTGAAGTTGAACTTGCTGCTGCAAAGCAGATGGCGTCAGGTGCTGATGACCATGATATCCCTTTACAAGATATATGGGAGGAGAACAATGAGGATGAAATCGAGTTGGTAGAAGGAGTCACCTTTAGTGTTGGGAACAACCGAAAGCCCTCCATAAAAGGCTTCAGTTTTCAGGATGACCGTCTCATGCAAGGGAACTGGACCAAGGAGCCAAATTCTTCCACGATTCTACTCTTCTTCAGGATACTTGCTCTGTGTCACACAGCAATACCGGAGATAAATGAAGCAACTGGTTCTATTGCCTATGAAGCAGAATCACCTGATGAGGGGGCTTTTCTTGTGGCAGCCAAGGAATTTGGATTCGAATTTTTCAAGCGAACACAATCAAGTGTCTTTGTCAGGGAGAAACACACTTCTTCGGAAGGCACAATTGAGAGGTTGCATATCAGTATTTGTTACTCCATAATTTGTTCCTTATCCTTATTATTATGATTATTTTGTCTTAATACGTGAGTATGGTTTCAGGGAGTTCAAGATTCTCAATCTATTGGAATTCAATAGCAAAAGAAAACGAATGACTGTAATTCTGCAGGATGAAGATGGTCAAATTCTTCTTTTTTGCAAAGGAGCAGACAGGTAGGATTTGTACCATTTTTTTAAATTTGGTGATGCTCTTTGATTTATTTTTGGCTAAGCCTGTACATCAAGCCATCTGCATTCAGATTTTGATATTTTGTTGTTAGCTTAAAAATGTTAAGAAGCAAATTTTACACCTGATTACTTGGTGCTGTCAACATGCTTGGCTTGTTTCTTCTATCTTTTTCAATGTCACCACTTTTTTTGGCTTCAGCTTGACTATCCTTGATTGTTCTTTGTTCCCAACCGAGCAGCATCATATTTGATAGACTGGCAAAAAATGGAAGAATGTATGAAGTTGATACAACTAGGCATTTGAATGAATATGGTGAGGCAGGCTTGCGAACATTGGCACTATCGTACAGGGTGCTTGATGAATCAGAATATTCTTCTTGGAATGCTGAGTTTCTTAAAGCAAAGATCTCTATTGGGCCTGATAGAGAGTTGCAACTTGAACGAGTCTCTGAGTTGATTGAAAGAGAGCTGATCCTTGTTGGTGCAACTGCTGTAGAGGACAAATTACAAAAAGGGGTAAAATACAGTGTCTGACTTTTTGTATTGTTAAGATATGTTTCTTGGTTCCTATTCCTAGTATTATGCTAGTTACTGTTTCGAGTTGTTCTGACTTATAAGTTATGCTTTGTGCTCTATCAGGTTCCTCAGTGCATAGATCGTTTACGCAAGCAGGTCTCAAAATCTGGGTTCTGACAGGTGATAAGATGGAAACTGCAATTAACATTGGGTATGCTGTTTCCAAGTAGAAATTCTTTACATGTACAAGTAGCTTTTTGTACCTCGTTAGCACATCACATCCATCAACATCGTGTGATGTTTCTATTTCTTTTGCAGATATGCATGCAGTTTACTGAGGCAAGGGATGAAACAAATATGTTTGTCCATACCCACTGGTGAGCAGGTAGCCCAGGATGCAGAAGGTACCTTAACTTTTTTTCTCTTTTACTGTATAGGAAGCTTTAATCTAGATGGTAATTCTCTTTATGGTAGGCTTTACTTTCATCTTTGACAACTGAGCAGGTTGCAAAGGAGAGTCTCCTGTCGCAAATCGCCAATGGGTCACAAATGGTCAAACTCGAGAAGGATCCAGATGCAGCATTTGCTCTAGTTATTGATGGAAAAGCTCTGGCATTTGTTTTGGAGGATGACATGAAGCATATGTTCTTGAACCTGGCAATCGAGTGTGCTTCTGTCATATGTTGCCGTGTGTCTCCAAAGCAGAAAGCACTGGTAGATTTGCCTCTCTCCATTGGACTATCTGTAGTTTCTACATAAAGTAATGTTGAGTTTGCTCTCCTTCACTTTGTAGGTGACTCGGCTCGTCAAAGAAGGTATAGGACAAACCACTTTAGCAGTAGGTGATGGTGCAAATGATGTGGGCATGATTCAAGAAGCTGATATTGGAGTTGGTATAAGTGGGGTAGAGGGCATGCAGGTGAGTTGTTCAGATTATCATGATCTACCCTATCTAGTGTGACAGAACCAATCTAGTGTAGTGCTACTTTCATATAACATCAAGGATCGTTGACTAGGTATGACTAAAATTGGTTCTTTTCCTTTACCAGGCAGTGATGGCTAGTGATTTTTCCATTTCTCAATTTCGGTTTCTTGAGCGACTTCTTGTCGTCCATGGACATTGGTGCTACAAGAGAATTGCCCAAATGGTGCTGCTCGAAGCACTTCTTTTATTCATTCTATTGCATCTGATTCTGTTATGTTTTAACTTTACTAAATCTTCTTTTGTTGAATTGCAGATTTGCTACTTCTTTTATAAGAATATTTGCTTTGGGCTTACAATATTTTACTTTGAAGCATTCGCTGGGTTTTCTGGGCAATCTGTATACGATGATTGGTTTATGCTTCTTTTCAATGTTGTTCTTACTTCGCTTCCTGTTATATCACTCGGAGTATTTGAGCAAGATGTTTCGTCCGAAATCTGCTTACAGGTATATGATAGAACATGTAACTTAGTTTAACCATACTGCTTATGATAAACTCGGCATGTTTAGAACTGAAATTAAAGCTTGGTCCTGGAATGTGGTGTGTGTTTTCATGGTAAAAGTTTTTATTGTGTTGTGTCCATATCATTATGCTTCCAGCAAAGAGGCTAATGAATAAGCGGATACCCAAAAGATCATCTGCTAAACTTTGTTTCTTGAGGAGGAGGACACTTCCATGGAACCACAATCATTAGCAACTGGGTGTAGATTAGAGAACTATACTGTACTCAGATGTCCATCAATTCCTTCTCCGGCTACTTTGCATGGCATCAAGTACAACAATACAATTATCTGGCATGGTTCATAATATATTAGAAAACTAAAAAGAACCATGAATATTGCCTCAACGTACAAGCATATCTTAGTTCATGCTACTATGATTTGTATTGCCCATTTGTTCTGTTAGGCATGAACTTGTATCTACATTTGCCTCTCCTTTCATGCAAATCATTTGTATGAAGCAACATATTATTGTCGTTAAAAAGATAGTTTCAGAATTAGGAATGATTTGGTGTGTATTACTTGTCCATTCCATGTTCCATTAGAATGCTATTCAGTATCTAGGTTATCTGCTTCAGGTATTCATTCACTGAAATGAAATGTGCAGTCACTTTTATGTGGATACTATAATGTTCCATGCTATTCAGTGTCTAGGTTATCTGCTTCAGGTATTCATTCACTGAAATGAAATGTGCAAGTGACTTTTATGTTGATACTATGTAAAAATACAGTGGTTTGAAATACACATTGGGTACTGTAAAAGATACCGGTGTTAGTTATCTCAGTTGTGATATTATGTTGGGAAACATGACTGACTGTTTTTCAACACATGTCATCCCATAAATTTAGTTTATTAAATAATGTAGTGCAAATTCATCTGGTTTAACGTCTTCCTTAAATAGTTTGACTTGCATAGCATCTAGAAAATAGTCAAGGCACATGGTTTGAGGAACCGTTTAAGCAGTTTGAAGTCACTTGGTAGTGTCATATTTAAAGCTGACCGAAGTTTTAAGGAAATGCAAATGCACAGAAGTTTGCTTCTTGACAACATTATGTTTGTATGGCCCCTATCTGTGGATCAAATCACATCTGTAAAAAAATACATGTTGCCAAGTAAACTTTTATGCTAGTTAATTTCCTGTGATCGTTGGTGATACTAGAAGACTCATGCATTGGGCCCTTTGCCCTTTGCACTGTAGGAGCTGGGCAATCTTCTCTGATCATCCACATTGCTGCTTCTAACCTTTCATATATATATCTATATTGATTGACATGGCATGACTTGCATGTTGCAGTTCCCAGCATTATACCAGCAAGGGCCAAAGAATCTTTTCTTTGATTGGTACCGAATCCTTGGATGGATGGGGAATGGCCTCTACTCCTCTCTGGCCATATTCTTCCTCAATCTCTGCATATTCTATGATCAGGCAATCCGTGATGGGGGGCAGACTGCGGACATGGCTGCGGTGGGAACTGCCATGTTCACCTGCATCATCTGGGCTGTCAACATGCAGATTGCCCTAACAATGAGCCATTTCACATGGATTCAACATCTCTTTGTATGGGGCAGCATAACAACTTGGTATCTCTTCATCCTCGCCTATGGGATGACATTGAGATCCCGCGACAACTACCAGATCCTGTTGGAAGTCCTTGGGCCAGCTCCCATATACTGGGCAGCGACGCTTCTGGTGACTGCTGCTTGCAACATCCCCTACCTGATACACATATCCTACCAGAGGTCGTGCAAACCACTTGATCACCATGTGATTCAAGAGATCAAGTACCTAAAGAAAGATGTCGAAGACCAGACAATGTGGAAGAGGGAGCGGTCGAAGGCCAGGCAGAAGACAAAGATTGGTTTCACTGCGAGGGTTGATGCAAAGATCAAGCAGATCAAGGGGAAATTGCATAAGAAAGGCCCATCTTTAACAATCCATACAGTATCTTAGGAATCTCGGTCACCTGACAGGCTCGTCAACAGTAGTTGCCACTTTCTTTGCTCCTGCAAGGCAGTGGTTTTAGCTTCTCTGAGCAATATAGCGAAATTCTTTTCTTTTTTCCTATTTCTTTTTTTTTTTGCCCTGGGATTTTGTTTTCTCTCCATTTGTAAGAAATGTTGGGGTGTAATTGGTGGTGTTCACCCTAGTAGAAGCTCCAAAGCCAGCCGTGTAAAAAGTATAGCTCCTTTCAGTTGGGAAAACAACCTATTGAGATAGCTGACAACATATGTATATCTGCAATTTTGATTGTTGCCTATTGATGTATTGTAATCGATTGACGTCGATGTTTACGGTGGTGTTGGTAATAGTAGCTTTTCTTTTCTATCTATATTTGAATTTATTTTACCCGGGTTTGTCATGATGTTGCCTCACCTTGCCAAAGTTCTACGGCACATTTGATTTGGATCACGAAGTTGTGCGGAATCACCCGATCCAAAGTCCAACCTTGGGCGAGACGTTTGGTTTGCATCACATGATCGACACGTCCGTTGCGGAACCATTCCTCATGACGTTTTTGCATGCAAACATTCCTCAGACGGCGACACGGCGTTACGGCAGCCCAACACCAAGAAATCTCTCTTGAGTAAAGTCATTTCTTTAAAAACATCGGACGACTTGGTGTCGGTCTGAACGAAAGATATACCTTATAGCATCAAATTTGTTAAAAAAGACACCGCAACACTGTCTGACACTGTGTATCATTGTTCACTAATACTTCATCAGTCCACAAAAGAATGCAATTATGGGATGCGTGCAAGTCAAACTAGTTTAACTTTAACCAAGTTTATAGCGAATATCAACATTTATGTCTTCAACTAAGTTTATTATGAAAATATATTTCATAATCAATTAATGATACTTATTGTATTATAATTGTTAGTAAATTTTATATAGTTTTGGTGAAACTTCAAATCATTGACTCCTCGAAAAACGAGAATGGTATTCTTTTGTGGAAGGATGGAGTACTTTTGAGGGACTCAAGTCATTTTGCTTGGTCCTTAATTTGTGCTGCAAATCTTCTAACATCTTTTTTATAAGGAATCAATACAATTTCATAGTTTGGCAATTTTGTTTTCCAAAAATCAATTTGACACTTCCAAATTCGAAGTTCAAATTTAAATAAAACCGAGTTATAAGAAATGTTCAGTTCAATAGTAGACACATTACTAGGTTAACTTCTAATGTTAATGGCTAAAATGGTTCTTCACCAAGGTTTAAGTGTGCTACATTTTCCGAGATCGACGAAATCACCATATGCACCTCGTTCTCGATATTCCACCACAAAATATCAAACCAACTAAATTACGCTCAATTTGCAAATATATAATGATTCACGACATATAAAATGGCACATGTTCAAAAATTCACATTAAAAAGGGTTTCTAATTTTTGGCATGGGAGAGATAAAATTAATTAGCTTGGGGGCTCAATCGAAGCACAAGAAAGAAGATTATGTTGTTGCTCTAGAGAAGATTCATGTGAAGCTATTGAGCTCATCTTATTTGGAGAAGGCAAAGAGCATCTCTAGTAGAATAGAGGTACCAAGTAACGCCTTTATTGTTCTATCTGTTGAAAATATGCCCAAGTTATAGTGTGGGCCTATCCAGCCCATGTGGCCCAATTAGCAATTCCTATATATGCTAATCACTGATAAGGGGCTGACTAAACCTAATTACCCCACCGATCAGAGAGCCACGCCGCTGCTCCTGTGCCTTGTGCATGTCGTTGGTACTGCTGCTGTCCAGCGCAGCGTTGAGTGCTAGCACACTCCGTCGCGCCGTTCTCCTCTCCGTACGTGTGGACATCCGTAGAGGTGCTGCTGCGTTGTGCAATCGTACGGTACGACTATTTCCTCGATATCGACTGCGCGTGTTCCGCCAAGTCTTCCACTGCGTCGCGCGTTGGGAAGGTATAATCTATGATCATCTACAAGCAAGTGATCCTGTTTTTACGCGATATTTATTTTGTGCTAACGAGTAGCCACCCGCGTTTTCCTACACTATCTGGCTCGAGATCAATCGCTCTAGGTATCAAGACAATGTTGTGGGGATGGAAGCTTGATAGAAAAGCAGTAAATTAAGGGCTCACCTTAACGTGTGTCTTCTTGTGTGGTATCTCTTGTGCCCAGTTCAATTTTGGTACTTACTTTGAGCGATCTACATTCTTAAAACTGAATTATTTGCTTTTGCCACACTAGGCCGCAAAACCTCACATAGAAATAGCTTTATTTATGGCTATTTGTATTTCTAATTGGAATTGCCTAGTGTCTTTGATTTTTAGTGATCACCATCTATTCACCCCCTCTAGCCGCCGGTTACTAGATCTTTTCAGTTGGTAACTATCTTAGACATATAACTTACTCATTAAAGGGGCATGCTCTTTGGTACAGAGAGTGAGAAGGGTTGAATTATCCTTTCAGGACAAAACACCTTTCACTGTACTACTTCACCATGTATATATTTAATCATCACATCAACGCAAAAGACAAGAATTCCATTCTACTACTTATTTACACTCATACTTTAACATAATATATGAATGTAAAAAGGTAACATATTTGGAAAGATGACTACTCATTCTATAATGTTCCATATTGTGTATACACATTGTGCGGTGGGACTTAAGTCGTGCTTTGCTCTTTTGTTGTGATACTAGAATGACGGTCAAATAGAAAATATGTCCTGGAGAAACTATTAGAACCAATTCTACATATCTTTTATAACTGTTAGAGAAGAAATGACTTTACCTTAGGGGATGTTTGGTTCTTTAGTCGCTCTTAAAATTCATATCACATCAAATATTTAGATACTAACAAAGAGCATTAAATATAGATTAATTACAAAACCAATTACATAGATGGAGGCTAATTTGTGAGGCAATTTTTTAAGCCTAATTAATCTGTCATTAGCACATGTTTACTGTAGCACCACATTGTCAAATCATAGACTAATTAGGCTTAAAAGATTCATCTCGCAAATTAGTCGCAAGTTGTGTAATTAGTTTCGTAATTGGCCTATATTTAATACTACATGCATGTGCCTAAATATTTGATGTGACAGAAATTTTAGGAGTGCCCGTAGAAACCAAACAGGACCTTAGTCTCACCTTGTCGGGGACCAAATAGTGGGGTACCCAAAGAGGAGGAGCTAATAACTATCAAACGTTGACGCTTTCGATTAGACAAGAATGCAGTTACACTTCTTGCCCGAACGACGGAAGATTGGTTCTAACTCGCCCGACCTCCGAGGGCTAGACTCCGCCTTGCCCGACGGCTGAGGGCTGGCTCCGCCTCGCCCGACGTCCAAGGGCAGGCTCCGTCTCGTCCGACGTCCGGGGGCTAGCTCCGCCTCGCCCGACGTCCGAGGGCAGGCTCCGCCTCACCCGACGACAGAGGACTGGCTCTGCCTTGGCCGACGTCCTGCACCCTACTCCTTCATAATGACGAGCATAGGGCAAGACAGGACACTCAAGTTAATAGTAATACCGAGGACCATACCCTGCACGTCTGTAGGGAAGTACTGTCAGGATAGGACCAGACGGACGCTTTAAGTCCTTCCAGGCACGGCAGAGCCCGAACAGTATTATAGACGTCGACTTTTGTCTTACAGTGTTGTGAGCGCCGCCATCAGCCATCGGACGTGGATCCTGACATAAGCATACGACAACCACTACAATCTAGGAGGGAACTCACATCATATACAGTAGCGGACGTATGGTCACTTCCCCGTCTGCTCCCCGTAGGGTCACGACTTGGCACCCTGGCACGCCGTACCATCCACGAGAGTAAGATGGGACGTGACCACTTGCTGAACGAAGCCAGAGCACAGCCCTATCATAATCAACGAACGTGCTATCCCTGGCACCGTCTGCCTTATCAGCAGGGCAGGTTCAAGGAAAAAGGAAGATCCGGCACATTCGAAGGACCTTCTCTACCTCTGTTTTTTCTTCTTTCTCCCATCTGTAACCCCTGGTCCTCCTTGATCTATAAAAGGGAAGGCAGGGCACCCCACTAAAGGGACGGATCAATCCTACACACCACGCACCACATTACACGTAGCTGAGCGGCAACCAAGCTCTCAGCGCATGTTCGACTTTTCCATCAGAGAGTTGGGACATGTCCCTCTCTTGACCGTTTGTATCCCCTACTACGACCTTTTCAGTGCTACTAACACGAGCAGCAGCAGCAGACTAGATGTAGGGACATTCTGCCCGAACCAGTATAAACATTTTGTATTTTAACACACCATCCGGACATAACATGCAACAAATACAAATATACTAGTTGTTGCTTACTCGAAACACCGACACACCTAATTCCGCAGTTCTAGTTTCCAAGAGTCCAGTCAGCTAGTCAAAAAGTTCCATAAAATGATTTTGATTAATTGAGAAGTATTTTTTTAACCTACAAACATGCTTCTAATGTGCTTGATAGATGAGTACTCCACGGTCTCAAAATAGGTGCACATCCCACTTCTCAAGAAAATTAACTAATTTTATAAAAAATATTATCAATATTTGTATCACAAAATAAGTTTAATATAAAAATATATGCCATAATCTAGTAATACTTATTGGGCCTGTTCGGCAGGACTGAAAAATACTGTTTCGGCTGATTGCTGTGAGAGAAAAATACTGTTCTGGCAGGACGTGAATAGTGATTTTATGAGGTGGCTGGCCAGCCGGCAATCAGCTAGCCAGCCAGCCGAACACGGTGATTATGTATAATAATTATTAGTACCTTTTTTTGTTATATATTTGATCAAACCAAACCAAACCTTTTGACTTCTCAAAGAACAAAATGTGTAGCTATTTCAGAAGAGAGGGAGTAGCTTGTGGCCCTATTTAGAATTTCTAAGAAAAGGAATTTTAATTAAAAATAATTTAGGTAATAATTCTAAGCACATTTTTTAAAATAAACGTTTTAAGGCAAAAATATTATTTAATTAAGAATTTTAAGGATGATTTTTAAGAAAGAGTATTTAGGGCCTATTTGGTCCCCGCTTACGCGTGCCATGTCACAAACACGGCAGCGCTGCAAGTGCGGCGAACGATTCGTCCGCTACACATTTGGCAAGCCGTGGCGGCAAAATGAACCGGCTGTACATGGCGAGCAAACCTTCGGCAGCTGACCAAACACATGACGCGCGAAACCTATGGCGCGATGCGGTGCCCTTGATGACGTGATACAATTTTCCACAGTCCGCGAGGTGAAGCCGGCGCCGGTCACCGTCACACTAGCAGCATCTCGCTCAATGGCACGAATCGCGGCGCGCATCCAACGGAGCCAGCAAACCCAACGTGTCCTATGAACCCAGCCGAGCCACACCAAAGCCACATTCTTTGAGCTTCTACCGGCACCAATCCCACCCCTCGCCGCCATCTCCCACCTCTCTTTCTCTCCCCCGCACCTGCAGTCCAGCACACACCCGAAGCGGCGCCGCTAGGGTTTGCTCCGACAGCCGCGAAACCTAGACCTTACTGCTCCCTCCCACGGCGCAGGCCGCCATTCACTAATCTAGCTGCTACGCTTCGCTCCCCGCTCCGATTGGGAGCTAGGGTTTAGCTCATCTCCGAGCTCAGCTTCGGGTCGCGGCGGCGCGGCATGGCGGGGTACGGGGAGGAGAACCAGAACGTCATGAACGGGTACGAGGAGGAAGAGGAGGAAGAAGAGGTTGAAGAGGTCGAGGAGGTGTACGAAGAGGAGGAGGAGGAGGGGGACGGGGAGGGGGAAGCGGACGAGGGGGCTGCAGCCGCCGAGGCGGCGGCGATGGCGGCCGAGACGAGAAGCGTCGTTGGAGGCCGGGGCCTAGCGGAGGCGGAGGCCGCCGCTGGGAATGTTGATGCTGGTGGCGAGGATGGGAGGATGCAGATTCTGGTGGCGGTGATGCCTCGGGGTGAGTTCCTTGGTATCAAGGGTTTTCGTGTATGGTCCGGTCTGCTGTATTGGATTAGGTGTGGCTGATAGTTTTGGTTTGGTGCATCCTCGTATGTGATTTTGCAGGAAGATTTTCGTTGGGGGTGTAGCCTGGGAGACAACCGAAGGTAGTGAGCAATTCTTTTGGGATCTGACTATGAGGCTATTTTAGTTTATATCAAGTAAAATGCTGTACAACACTCGGTATATTCTGGGAAAACAACACAGTACAAAGGCAAATTAGTTCTTAGCTGTGTTTTGTTAGCATAAAAGAAAAATACACCGCAAGATATAGTTGTTTCTGTTTTCATGTGTTACTGATCAAGTTCTGCATTGGTTGGATGAGTCACTGATGCACTATGATTTTGCTTAGGTAGGCTAATGTATGTGGTAAAGCTTAGAATTGGGAGCTGCTGCTACCTCCATTATATTGATGGAAGCAAGCCTGTGCTGTGTTTTCTTGTTGGTGTGTTCTTAAATAGTAATATAAAACATTGCTATTTGGTGATTTGTGCCAGCCTACTTAATGGATTTCAGAAATATAGCCATTCTGAATATTTAGGGTTTTTTAAGGACAGTTTCTACACAATCTTTGTCTAATTACTAAACTGGTTATAAGATGCTGTTCCATGTTTGTCTGCTCTGTTGTTTTTCGGGCTCATCAGCTACCTCTTGTGCTGCGATGATCATATTGATACCAGTCATGTTAAATAAACTATGAATCTACATGCTTTATTTCGTGTAGTCCTGTATGTCATTTGACCAATACAGATTGGGCTTCATTTGGTGTATTGGTAGGAGCGATTCTGCTTTGATCTGTTCGATAACTTAGAAATAATAATTGTGACTCAGTGTGCATAGATATGTGAACTAGAAAACAGTAAATTACTTTCATTTCAATACTTTAATGACAATGTGGGTTAACTGGAAAATAGGAGAAGTCTTTTATTTGAGAAATTGAATGGCAATTAAGTGTGTGTTTGCATTGACGTTCTATAATTATTTGTCAGTTTTGCACTTCTAACTTCGGATCATAGGAGTGTCATGGTCTTTAATGTCGCATTATGAGTTTGCAATCTCACATGGGTATTGCTCTGTAGCTTAACTGTAGTTTGTCTTCAAGATGAATCTTTCCCATTAGTGATCCTCCGAATCTATTCCAAAACTGTATGTGAACCTTTTAGGAGTCATGTTGCTCTACCTTTTTTAGTGATCAGTAGTGCCAAGTATCTGCAGCTACAAAAGAAACATTAGAATATAGATTGCTGATCTCATAGAGCAATAAGTTTTTGTTATAACTTGTTTATTTCGCTTATCTTTTGCTATATGCTCCATTGCATGTGCAGAAACATTCACAAAGCATTTTCAGAAGTATGGAGCAATCACTGATTCTGTGATCATGAAGGACAAGCATACTAGGATGCCTCGTGGATTTGGATTTGTTACATTTTCCGATCCATCTGTGCTTGACAGGGTTCTAGAGGATGATCATGTCATAGATGGAAGAACAGTAAGGCTTCTATGTTAAATATCCAAAAATTACGATCTTAATTTTGGACTATATTCTCAACTGTGTTTTTTATGCTTCAAGGTTGAAGTCAAAAGGACTGTTCCAAAAGAGGAAATGTCATCGAAAGATGGACCGAAGACAAAAAAGATCTTTGTGGGTGGTATCCCACCATCTCTTACCGAAGGTACAAGCGATGCTAAAACCTTTTTTGTTTTCAAGCAAAAGATATCTAGACATTGTATTGAACTCGCTAATTATAATAACTTTGATTAGCCTCCAGCTATAGTTGTTGGGCCTTGAAAACATTCGTTTCAAATGCAAGCATGCTTAATATGAACCTTGCAGATAAATTAAAGGAGCACTTCTCATCGTATGGGAAGGTGGTTGAGCATCAGATTATGCTTGACCATAGCACTGGACGCTCACGTGGCTTTGGATTTGTCACATTTGAAAGCGAGGATGCTGTTGAAAGGGTTATGTCAGAGGGGAGAATGCATGATCTTGGAGGGAAACAGGTCACTTCTTTATCTTTCATTGTGTTTAGTGATGGTAAATATCATTGGCATGTAAGCAGTTCTGCAGTTGTCAGATTCAATTAGCAAATGGTCTAACTTTGCATGCTGTACTTCATTGTTATTGTTCACTTAATTTGGTTAGTAATCATGAGGATGCAGTTCTGTCTCTGTACAATAACTGATGTGTTTGGGAGTTTTTGAACATTGATCATTGTTTGTTTAGTGTACTCCCTCTGTTCCAAATTGTAAGATGTTTTGGCTTTTCTGGATACATTGATTTTACTATATATCTAGACGTAGTGTATGTCTAAGTGCATAGCAAAAGCTATGTATCTAGAAAGGCCAAAATGTCTTACAATTTAGAATGGAGTACATATCAACATGCTAGGAAGTGAAAAGATCGAACCATTAACTGATAGCATGCTAAATATTGTTGACCTGACACTTTTTTGAGTATGGTCTATGGTACTAGTTCTGCATATAGGGGTGTGTACAGTGTACTCCGTATTATTGATAGGCGCCATCATGTCATTCTTTATGAGATATTATATTTGTATTGCGGAGATGGTTACTTGAAATGCATTGCCCTGATTACAAAAATCAGCACTCAATAGTTGAAGCACATCCAGCACCTGGGTTCAATTCTCTGTGGAAGCGAATTTCAGGGCTGGTTAAAAACCTCCCTTGCTGGCAACCTATGAAATAGCAGCAGGGCACCATCCTATGGTGGTGGCGGTTGGCCTGTGTGACTGAGTGGTGCGGTCCTACCTTGAGGGTAGTCATGGGGCACGGAACCTGGGCCGCAGGAGCGGAGCCAGGAATCGAACATAGGGGAGGCGGCACAAAAAAATCTACTTTTATGTGCACCTGGGAAGAACGAAGAACAAAAGGGGAAGACGAAAAAATCTACTTTTATGTGGACCTGGGAAGAACGAAGAACAAAAGGGGAAGACAAAGACAACATGCCTGGCAGCTGGGCGTCGGCAGGAGGCAGCTTCCGGTGGCAACCGGCGGCGACGCGGCGTCCGACGTGTCTGTCCTATCTCCGCTTCATGCTCGTATTGTGCTGCTGTCGTGCTGTGTGCGATGCTGCGAGAGCCGAGAGCGTGCGATGTGTTCTAGACGAGAAGCCAAACAGCCGAGGAGACGAAGAGGCACATTGCGGACGGAACAAAATTACAGAATACAGCTGGTCGTCTCCTATGCTTCCTCCTAATTGGGCTGCTGGCTTCCTTCTATCATGGGCTCCAAATGTTACTTGGAACTTGGGCTTAGAACTAAGGGGGGCCAGAGCCTATAATTGTGCTAATAGGTCCATGTATTAACTACATGATAGGGAATTAGCAGGCTGTTGGGGGAGGCCAGGCCCCCCCAGCCCCCCCTCCCTCCGCCCCTGCTGGGCCATGGTCCTGTGTCCACCGGCCTAGGTTATGGTGCAGCACTATAGGGTCTGCACTATCAGGGTTCAGGCAGTTTCTCTGTGGTTAAGTACTGCGGTTTCTTCTTCCAAACAGCACTGTGGGGGCAGTTTTGTCAGTAACTCTCAATATAGCTTTCAGTTGGGCCGGTCAATGGACAGGAGAAGAATTAGACTGGGCTTATGCTGGGCAATGGACAGAAGAGTTGGACTGGGTTTGCATTGGCCCATGGAGGCATCAGATACAGAGTACTCCCTCTGTCCCAAAATACAAGACATTATAAGATTCAAATTTTGTCCCAAAATACTTGACACACTCACTTCCCAATGCACCTTTCTCTTCTCCCAATACACCTTTTTCTTCTCCCAATACGTCTCTATCTCTATTTCTCTCTCTCTCTCCATCATGTTTTCTGTGCACACCACCTTTTTACATCTTCTTAATTCCCGTGCCCAAACCTAAAACGTCTTCTATTTTGGGACGGAGGTAGTTCAAGGGCAGCAGCAGCAGCACCAGCTATGGGGGACTCATTGAAGAACAGACCGCAGAACAGGCGGCGAGCTCTGCTCGAGGCGAGTCTTTGGACACGATTTACCTTTCCTTCCTCCCGATTACTTCATAGTTGTATCCAGCACCTTCTAGAAACTACCACAAACTAGTTTGATTGTTGCTGTGATTTGAATCCGTTCACTGGAGCTTGAAGCCAGCCGAAACGGCTGCCGCTGCTGGCATCACAAGGCACACGACCACTGTACCTACAGTGCCAAACAGCCAGCCGAACTGCTGGGAAACAGCCAGCCGAACAGACATCGGAGTTGTTGATCTGTGGGCTCTCCGATCTAGCCATGGATTCTACGGAGGAGGTGCGGTGCTCTGGTTCCACCATGGACTCTGTACAAAAGGCATGGTGTAAGGAGATGCTAGACTGGATTCTGGTCATGGTGACGAAGATGGCGTCGGATTTGGAAGAAAGCAATGCGCGCCTTCGAGCTGCCTATCTGGCCTTGTCACCGGCAACAACGACTCCGCTTCCTCCAACGCCAAGCCTGCCGGCAACGACTCCACCTCCAACGCATTGTTGATGGCATCATCTGCACCAGAGAACATTGCCTCCACCATCCTCATCGCCAACCTCGACAACTGCGAGCGTGAGATTGACCTCTCAACCAACAGCATGCCTGCGACAACCTCCGCGACACTGCCCACATCTTCCTCAATCCCTGATCCGTCCCGTGTTGATGACCTTACCGTCCAATTCTCCAACATTGAAGACCATGTCTGCACACCAAGTGTTCGACACCGGGACTCTACCAGGCCGGCTCGGCACTGTCCACGATGTCCTCGGTCTCCGCTCCCTCCCAGCACGTCATCCTTGCCAACGTTGATGCCTGCACCACGCTTCTCCAAGTGATGCGCACCAGGTGGTTGACGCAGATGCAGTCTGTGTGTTCCAGCAGCAGTGAGCAAGTTACCCACCACTCTGGCTTCACTCGCAGCTACCTTCTCACTTGGCAACAAGGGCCACAACTTATTCATCAGCTTCACCAACTTTGTTCTGATTCCAGCAGCGGGCATAGTCCTGTCCTGTGTCAAGACCTGTTCCTGCAGTGCATATGAAGTGATCGCTGATCGAGGTAATGCCTCTTGGTTCATTTGCTTTCTCCATCGATGATATGTGTTATCCGGACGAGGAAGTATTGTACTGTTCAAAGGATTTGCTGCTACCTATGTCTTTGGTGTTTTCAAACTCGGTTTGTTATCCTGTGCAACACTTACATAACCAATCTGAGCTGCAGAAAACATGGCCACCCCCAACTGAATATTGTGGTTGTTCGAATCGAGATAGGTCCAGCACCATGGCCTTCTCTCCGTTTCAACCACTGTCTAGTTGAAACATTGTCAAAACACCACTGGTTAGTAGTGATTGATGTGTTGGCCAAACCACTAAGAAAGCACATATGCATTGTCATTTCTATTACACTCAAGGAGAGAAAACAGTGGTCCAAAGATTATTGTCATTCACCAGCCATCTTGGTGCCTCTGTCCAGAAGCTGGGATCAGCTCCAACCCTGGCCACCACCACTGTTCAAGCAAGTCATGATCAGATCCAAGCCCTCTGTTATTGGAGACCATAGCAAATTGGGATACTGCATTATGAAGTCATTAGTACAACAGCAGTGTACTCAGGACAACAATCATAATGGGGCATCTTTCAGCTATAAGTTGGTGCTAGTTGAGAGGTGGCAAAGCAAGGCTAGAAGTGAGATTTTCACACCCAGAGCTGAATCTGTGCAACCTCACTAGTATTTGGAAAGTGAAGGAAGAGGTGTGTCACATGCAGCAGGATATGATACTTGATCATGAGAAACAATGGAAAAATGATAACCTGGTTTTATACTTGCAAATATGGTCACTGTCTGGGCACAAGAACGTTGAGTTGTGGCCTAAGCATTGGCCATCTGTCAGTTGTTGTCAAACTAAAGTTGGTGCTGATGAGTTGAATTATTCTGAACTGAGTACAAATTTCAGTTTGCATGCAGAGACATCAGTATATTTGAGGATATGGAGGATGATGCTGAAGGTACTGGACAGGTGCAACAGTCACAGCTTTAGTCTGAATTGGTTTCACTTTCAATTGTGGCATGCACAATATGCACTTGGAAACAAGATCCACTTCAAGCTTCTTGTCAAGTGTTCAAAATGCAAGAATTTCAGTGGCCTTGAATTCGTCTTCGCAGCATCAATGTTTCTGTGAGTACAACTGATGGAGCGTACCATTTTCTTTGACTCCGTAATGATTCTGTTCATTGTTTTTGAGGCGTCGCCTAGGCGACAAGGCGTGCTATGGGCGCTGGGCGTCGGGGTCGCCACGACCTCCGACGGTATGGCGTCTGCCTCACTCGATTAGGCGTCGACTAGGCGAGGAATGGCGTCCGCCTGACGCCTAGAGCCTTGCTGCAGACACCAGATGCGAACTCGCGGGGGAAAAGCATCAAAATCATCGTGGCCCCACAGGAATCGACCGCGCGTCCGCGCCAAAAGCAAAAGGGTAGGAATTGACCCAGCATATACTGCTCTTCGTGCGCGAAATCTCCCGCTCGAGTCTTTTACCGCGACTGCAGGTGAGGGAGAGGAAGAGAGAAGGGGGCGAGCGAGGGGAGAGGAAGAGAGAAGGGGGCGGGCGGACATTGAGATCCGCTTGGCTGCTCCTCTGCTTGAGTCCACCGGCGGTCGCATGCTGCTGGAGCCGCCCTGCATCTCCAAGATCTTGGCAGCGACGGCGGCTCTGCATCTCCGCGCACCTCTGGGATGAAGTCCGCCTGCTCGAGTCCTTGTTACCGCTGGCCGTCCGCCGCGTGTCGTGTGTCGCCGTCCGCACCTGCCCGCTTCGAGTCTCCGCCGTCGCCCGTCCGCACCTGCCCGTCTGCCTAGTAAGTGTGTTTGCCGCCTCTGTTTTGGTCCCTAAATCTCCCAGCCCCCTGCCGCCTCCTCTGTTCTGGTCCATGTACTCTGCTCTGAATATTGCTGCTTTTTTATATTAATATTGGCCTGTTACATACTCACATACGGAGGAGACTAATGCCTGCTTTCTTGGGTTGTTATTTTCTTAGACCTTTATAAACAACACAGGGCACAAGGATCTTTCTTTGATTAGTATAATATCTGCTTGGCTCTTTCTTTAATCTTTACATTTAGAAGGTTCTTCCTTTGATTAGTATGATAATTACTGATTAGTAGTGCTCTCTTAGCCATACAGTATTGTGCTGGGCTCAAGAATTGGGAACAAAGTTGTATGTGCTGCACTAGTATCTAAAATTCTAGCTTACACAACGTCTTCATGGTGCCTAAATTGTGCGTGTATGGCGTCGCTTAGGCGTCCGCCACAAACGCCTAGGCATTGTGAAGGGGTAGGGTGCCAGCGCCTCGCCACAACACCTTAAAAACCATGATTCTGTTGTGGTTATGGGATCGCGGTGGATTTCTTCCCAACTTACAAGCCATGGTCCTAGTTTTGGTGGATTGTTGTGGACTTGTGGTCAAGTGGCAATGCACATTAATTGGTGCAATCTCCACCTGTGCTGAGTTGGTGTTCCAGATACATGTGCAATTAGCAACCTTTCTGAGCAATACCAAGTACTGGCATGGATTACCACTGACCAAATATGGTGCCTTCCATATATCATTCGACATCATTCGGAAGCATGTTCCATGGGATCCCAGTGGTTCACTGCAGCAACGGCTTAGGGACAAGCCGTGTTTCATGGGGGAGGAATGTCAGGAACTCTCAATATAGCTTTCAATTGGGCCGGGCAATGGACAGGAGAAGAATTAGACTGGGCTTATGTTGGGCAATGGACAGAAGAAGAGTTGGACTGGGTTTGCATTGGCCCACGGAGGCATCAGATGCGGTGTACAAGGGCAGCAGCAGCAGCAGCTATGGGGGACTCGTCGAAGGACAAAACCGGCGGCAAGCTCTGCTCGAGGCGAGTCTTTGGACTCGATTTACCTTTCCTTCCTCCCGATTACTTCACCTTGTAAAAACTACCACAAACTAATTTGATTGTTGCTGCGATTTGATTTGTGAGTGAATTCAATTTGGGTTCGTGACAGGTTTTTCCCTCATGTCCGAGTTATGGTTCAATCACATGATTTTGATCCACATCTTTTAGAGCACTGCTCTTCTCCTTGCATAACCCTCTGTGGAGAATTTTCAACGATAGTACACTTATATCTCTTCAGTCCTCTTCTTGTTGTTTAGGGTTTATGCCTTTAGGATTTATTAGGGTTATATTAAGTTTTCGTATTTGTAGGAAACACGTATGGCAAGTTAAGGTATATTGTTGTAAATTTCTTGTATGCCAATATCCTTTAAATAGTGGGTGAATGAACCGGAACACAAATGACAACGGTAATAAAAATACAGAACAGTGCCCATGTGGCAGGAAATTGAACAATGCCACACATGGCAGAAAATTAAATAAACTAGACCTCATATTATAGGAAATTAAATAATTTAGACTGCATATGGCTGGAAACCAAAATAAATCAGAATATCCTGACAAATTAGAAGATAAAGCATTTTGTTGGAAGACTTGGCAATCTGCATCCTGTGCTGGGACTTAGTATCACTTAACATTGTTCATTGATAAAAAAAATTGCCTAGTGACCTCTGGTTGGGGTATTATGCCTTGACTTATCTGCATGCAACAATTCTCCCTTAGTTATCGACTTATAGTAGAGGGGCATAATTTCTCTTTGTTAGAAGTCACCTATGTTGTATAATTTCTGCTGTTATATTTGATGTATCATTGCAACAGGGTTACAGGAGTCAATTTGAAAATTGTTTGACTAAATTCTCCAATTGTTTTATAATTTTGCAGGTTGAAATTAAGAAAGCTGAACCAAAGAAACCTGTCGGGGTGATTCAAGCTCAAATGGAAGACATAGTCGTGGTGGTGGTCACCGTGATTCATACCGTGGTAGTGGTGGTGGCAGTGGTGTTTCTGGCAACAGCAGTGGTGGTGGCTATGGATACGGTGGTGGCTACCGATCAACTGCTGTAGCATACTATGGCAGCACAGCATATGGTGCCTACGGCAGAGGGTATGGATATGGTGGTACTGCTGCTGGCTATGGCTCAGGTTATGGCTCTGCATATGGTGGCTCCATGTATGGAGATCCATATGGTGCCTACGGGGCATATGGTGGTGCCTATGGAGGTGGTGCATATGGTGCTCCAGGAGGGTATGGTGCGGGAGGATATGGCAGCTACGGTGGGGCTGGAGGCATGGGTGGTGGTGGCAGTGCTGGTGGTCGGGGCGCCAGCAGATACCACCCTTACGGAAAATGATCATCCATCGTTTCTCTAGGATCTGATAATAAAGGTATATACCTTCCCTCGTTTCTGCTACTGAGAAAATGGAACATTCCATTCACCTTGTCGAATCAGCGGCATCTGAACATTTTTTCCCCTGGAGCTTTTCAATGCACAACAAAGATTCTAGTCTCTAGTCGCTGAACCCTGAACTGCCCCACCCCCACCCCGCTGAGCTTTCTGTAGAAGCTGCAGCTAAAATTATCGTAGTCTGGCATGAGCCTTAGAAGGCCCTTGAAACTATATGGTGTCATGGAACAGATGTATTTTGATGCAACATTCGCTCACTGGTCAGCATCTTGCTATCTCTGCTTATGTATAGTCTCCTTTGTGAGCTGGTACACCCCCGACGATGTTTTCGACTTTCGAATGGTTCGGATGTACTATATGAAATTCGAGTACACTGGCCTAGATTTGTTTCTAGACACGCACACAGGAGGATCGGTGGCAAAGTCCAAACGCAACCAGTCTACTGCATTGTCGCTCGTTCTTCCGGCGGCGGCCCGACGCCACGCGCAGCCCTCGCCATGGTGTCGACATCGTTGCTCCATGCCCGGAGCCGCACGCCTCCGCACCCACGGCGCCGCGCCCGGTCTGCAGAGACCGTTCGTCCGTTGTCCGGACTCCGGGTCCTCCCCGCCAGCCACTGACTCCTGTGGCCCACAATGCCCGCGCCCCGTGCCCACTCCGCGTGCTGACCACTGCGCCGCCGTATGATCTGATCGGACGGCGGGCCGCGAGGGATGACGACATCCTCGTCGTGCGGCGGGTCCCGCTAGCCGCCCCAGCCGTGCGTCTGACGTAACAGGGGGCGGGGCGCGTGCCCGTGGGCCCCCACACCTCTGCCTCCCCTCGCGCGTATTAAACGTTTGATGTTGGCCGCTTGGCAACCACGCGGATCGGAAGAATCCATCGATCTCGTTCGGGAGAGGGATATCCGTTTCTGCATCAGCAGCGTTCTCTGCAGCGGCGATGCCGTTCTTCGAGGTGCGCGCCACCTGCTCCCTCCCGTCTCATCCTCTACGAACCTCCGTGGCGCGGCCCTTGGTTCGCCGCGTGTGCTCTGCACCGTCGCACTTTCCTGGGCCACATTGCTTATCTTCTCGCTGCTATTCTTTTCCCCTCTGTTGTCGACAAATTTGGGCTGTCTTCTTCCGTGGTCGTTAGTTTCCCCTTCATTTACATTTACCCCGCTGAATTGCGAGGCGGAATCGCAGATTTTGATGAGAATTCGGTTGTTGCGTTGCTATGAATCGTAGGAAATGATGGAGGGATCGTTGTACATCCGCACACACCTGCAGCAGATAGCCGCAGGTAAGCAGAGCAACAATTGATTCTGATTCCTCACTCTCTCTCTCTCTCTCTCTCTCTCTCTCTCTCTCTCTCGTGGTCGTCATGTGATTTTGACGCGGCATGCGGTTGCGTGCATGTATCTCTCTCTCTTGGTGGTGGCGGCAGCGTCGGTCTCCACGGCGAGCTGCGGCGCGTCTAATAGCGGCGCCGATGACGCGGAGTGCCGCGACGAGGCGGCGGCGCTGGGGCTCAAGATGGTGGCCGTCGCGGCCATACTCGTCGCCGGCGCAACCGGCGTCGCGATCCCGCTCGTCGGCCGCCGCTGCCGTGGGCGGGGAGGAGCCTCCTCCTCCTTCTCCTCCTCCCCCTCCGCCGGCGGGGCGTTCGTGCTCGTCAAGGCGTTCGCGGCCGGGGTGATCCTGGCCACGGGCTTCGTCCACATGCTGCACGACGCGGACGAGGCGCTCACGGACCCCTGCCTCCCCGCCGCGCCGTGGCGCCGCTTCCCGTTCCCGGGGTTCGTCGCCATGCTCGCCGCGCTCGGGACGCTCGTCTTCGACTTCGTCGGCACGCACATGTACGAAAGCAAGCAGCACAGCGCCGACGCGGGCAATGCCAGTGCCAATGCGAGCGGCCACGACGTGACCGTGGCGCTGCTAGAGGACGGCGCGCTCGTGGGGAGCGTCGCAAGCGGCATAGGGAGAGACGGCTCGCTCATGGGGAGCGTCGGCAGCGGCATAGGGGGAGGCCACAAGGACCCCATGCACATCGTGGGGATGCGCGCGCACGCCGCGGCACACAGGCATAGCTACGCCCACGGGATCGGCCCATGTGATGACGGTCACAATGGGCACGATGAGGAGCCGTCGCAAGCTCGTCATGTGGTTGTCTCACAGGTACGTTTCTAACTCTCTTCTCAAAACACAGAACAAAAAAATGCATATTACAATTGCACGATGAAGTGATTATACTTGTTGCTCAATGCCTGACTTCAAAAGGCATGTTACATTTGTTACTAGAGAGTGACGATACGGCATGCATGTGGAGTTGTGGACTCTCTAAAATTTTGGCCTGTGATTACCCAGGACACTTCGAATAGTGAAACCCTATCAACAATTGGGCCTGTTCGTTTAGTCAAATGTGGACAAGTTATGTGATATCTTTGAGTTTTCACAAAAATTGGTCAAGTTTCATTGAAACTTAAATTTCTTTGGAATGCATTTGGGTAAAATTGCATGGTAAACAGCGTTATCAGTCCTACTATATGATCAGCAGGCGCTATTTTTTTTTTAAAAGGAATCTGTAGCATGAGCATTGAAGGGAACACTGCAACTTACAAGTTACAATGACCATGGACGACCCAAAAGACACAAACAGGATTTATAACACCAAGCAATGTTCAATTACGTGGTCTAGCCTATTGCTCACCTAATTGCCAAGAGTATTATGAAAGTATGAAACTGCATTCATTCATGCTCTTAAGGTGTTCTAGCTTCTTGCCCCAAGTAGTGATAATGTATCAGTAAATACTATGAAATCACTCTCATGCTAATTCCTTCTGAGCTGATTTCTGTAGGTTTCTTGTAACTTGTACAGCAACCGGAGATATGATATGTGGTACCTTGCTTCATATTTGTTAGAGTAACTGGCTCGAGTTTCCATTCATTGAACATGTGTTTATAATACAAGTTACATGACTCTTCATATGCTAAGACCATTCACATTCTAAGCCTATTCATATTCTAATAATATCCGCAAAATGGTGAATAACCCTACGCTATTTTCTCTACTAGATTCTTGAGCTTGGGATTGTATCGCACTCGGTGATCATCGGGCTATCTTTGGGCGTCTCACAGAATCCCTGCACCATCAAGCCTCTAGTTGCTGCCCTCTCCTTCCACCAGTTTTTTGAGGGCTTTGCATTGGGCGGCTGCATTTCTGAGGTTAATATCTAGTACTTCCTTTTGTGATTTGGATCAACAATTTATCATTTGAACACAACATTTGAAGCAGATGTGGTTGTGTTTGTGGTGTTCTGTTCATTGCCCAACAAAATGCAGGCTCAGTTCAAGAGTTTTTCTGCACTCCTTATGGCCTTCTTCTTTGCTATCACAACGCCTACTGGGATCACCGTGGGGGCAGGTATCGCGTCGTTCTACAACCCCAACAGCCCGAGGGCACTTGTGGTAGAGGGCATTCTGGATTCCATATCGGCTGGTATTCTGATCTACATGGCCTTGGTGGACCTCATTGCGGCTGATTTCCTCAGTAAGAGGATGAGCTGTAACCTGAGGCTTCAAGTCGGCTCATACATTGCCTTGTTCCTTGGTGCCATGGCTATGTCGTCTTTGGCCATATGGGCATAGCAAGTAGAATGGAAGTAAGGCAAAGGTTCGAGAGGGGCTGCTTAATTGCTTTTCATAGCAGGAGGTTCTCTCAGGCAGCTAGTTGGTTGCAATTCTTGATGAGAATGGGGCCATTTTTTTTCTTTTCCTCTATTCTTTTGTTTGTCTACTTGTTCTCTTCATGTTGGTGGTGGGCCGTAAGATTCAGTCCTTTTGGCGTAACAAATCAATGCCCTTCTTTGGGATACATTGTACTGGATTAGAAGACAGATGAACATAGTTCAGGGTTTCAGGAAATAAATGGTTCTTGACTCCCATCAGTCTTCGCAGATGTATATTAAACAGAAAAGGCTTATCAGTGCTCTGCCTTACAAGCATTTTCTTAAGCATACAAGACTGAATGTTGGAAATTGAAGTGTTGCAACATTGCCTTTTCTTACAGGGAAATCGGTTTATGTTGCGTTGACATCTTGACCTTTAGCTGCATACTCTCCTTGTTTTCTTAATTAGAATCGGTTTTTTTTCCGGCCCAAACCTGCCGATATTTCTGATGTTTCATTTTATCAAACGAAATCCACTGATATTTATGATATTCCGTGTTTAAATTTTGTTTGGACTTATTTGAGATTTATATACAATTTGTTTGAATGTGGTCTGACATTTCTGATATGCCTCATTTATCCTGACTTCCGAAAGATTTTTATATAGTGATAAGGTAAACTCAGAAGAAATATCAGACCTCATTTATCCTGACCTCCGAAAGATATACAATTTGTTTGCATTTGGTCTGATATTTCTGATATACCACATTTATCCCAACCTCCGAAAGATTTTATATACTGGTAATGTAAACTCTGAGAAGAATGTGTTAATAATCTTTCTTGACTTGCATGCAGGTCTGGTGGTAGCAAATGCTATATCCTTTTTTCACTTTTTGATTCAGTCAACAACTGTCTAGAATCCACCTGCAGTTTTGGAATACTTGGCGGAACGAAGCAATCTGTGTTTTCCGCTGTTAGAAATCAACTCACCATAACTTGAAAACTTTCTTAGAACTCATATATAGAAGTTTTGAAAAATAATTTGAAACATTCAGCATAAATAGATGAGCTTGTATTATGATTCCGCCCACAGTTTTAAGTCCAGACTAGTATCTCATTTGGGAGATAAAAATGACACTTTCTGGAATCTATTTTGGACATGAAATTTTGGATGGGGTCATAAAACAACCTAACCTATAGACAGAGAATGTTTTATAGATATGATTTCTTAAAAAATCAAAAGCTGGCCATCTTATGCACCCATTCATGCAGTATAACATCAACAACTATATAGCTA